TTTGGATTTGAGACTTCAGTCTTTGCAACTTTACAGATCTTCTTTATGCACCAAGAGCTTGTAACACTCCAAAGAGAAAGGAAAAATTGAAATCGCATCATATGACCCCTTTAAGAACATTACTCAGTGTAACTGCATGAATTGGAGGAAAATTTTAATTTTTCGTCTCTCTACTGAGTCTTGCTCCAAAAGCACATACTAGCATTCATCAAAATTCATTTGAAACTATGATTATCACACTTTGCACTTCAGAGTGCGAGCAGGCCTGTGGGAATAACAGTAGAAGGCTTCTCTCTCCCTCTCTCTCTATTCTAATTGCTCTCACTAATTATACGCTATGCCCTACACCATGTTAACTATGAAACGGGAGAGCGAACAGAGGCTGCTGTGCCTCATCCTTCCTCCCTCTATTTTGTCCCAGCATATAGGGCTCAAAACTCAGATAACATTAAGAATTTGGCCATTTTTGAAAAGCTGACTTTTTTGAATCCCTTGATTTCAACATCTCTCAGCTGACTAAGAGTAAATAGTATGTATCTAAGAGATCACAACATCTTTATTTTTAGTCTGGGAGCGCACGTAATGTACGCCTGAGAAACCCACACGTTGCTGGGGCGTGCATGTGTGCTGTTCAGGGAAGCAGAAGGGGGCTGGATGTTGAGCACCAGGGAAATGTCATGTTGACCTTTTTAATCAGCAAGCTACAGGCTGCTTCAGTCGAGACGAGGAGGGTTTGTGTCACTCACATATGAAGTATAATTGGCGATAAGTGCGAGCCGTGTACACAAGGGCTGTATATTACAGCGTCTCTGATATGTTGCATTATGCAGCTGGCCTGGATATTGTATGTGTGTCAGTGGCAGGTGGTGGACCTAAGAAATGAGGATGTTTTTGTAGTCCATTGTAAATTCATGTCCTATTTCCAATTGCTATTTACAATTTCCAGGTAAAATGAGTTGGCTAGTTAGCATGCTTTATTCAGGGCCTGATTAGAAATAAATTTGTAGTCATAATAATAAAAAATATATTTTAAATTACATAGCACATTAAATTATAGAGGCTAAAATGGTCAAATTAAGAATTTTGTTTTCCTTATTTTTTTTAGTACATTCTTTATTTAGCAAGCTAACAGCTAGCATCCAAAACTGCATACTTTCTGAGTAGGTACTTATTTCGTACTGTATAAGTGCTTTGCGACCATTAAAAAGTATGTTGTATATAGTATGAATGTGTAATTTGAATGTACTACATCTGTCATATTGTCATTGTCATTGACCTACAGCGTCAATTGTGTTGCTTCACTGCTTTTTACAGCTCCTCCCGCGGGGCCTCATGGGATAGTATGAAGCGTCCATTCGATTTGCACTTGAGAATCTCACTGAAAGTCACAATAGATTATCTGTGTACTTTTTGCTTACTGTTTTATGAATACTTTGAATAAGGACTTATTCACGCACCTTAAGTATGCATATTAATATGCAGCCACGCTCTTTTTTAATTATCCAGAATAAGATATCATCATAATATGCTAGGCTTTTGATCAGGTATTGAGGAAGGCAGATATCAATTCTGTCTGGATCTAAAAAGTGTCTTTGTTCATTAATGTCTCACAATTTGCTGTGCATTCTGACAAAATTACATTTTTACCATTTGCTAATATTTTGTTAATCAATTAAACTTGTATGACTTTTTGACTTGTATTGATATTATACTTATAACTTATATTATATTACAGTAGGTGTTCTACCAGTGCCTAATCTCATTTTGAAGGACGATTAACATGGACGTTTTTCCCTGTTCAGTAATGTCACAGCTCAGGATTGTCTCTAGTGAAGTGCTTGATCAAAACTGTGCGTTATGATGCCATCTACCTTGAAGAAAACACACTCGTCCTCTCATCTCTTTCCATCCAGACATTAATGGCAGCCTTCAGTTCTGTAAGCAGAAAACATAAAATTTACATTTATAGTTTTGGCAGACATGGGGTTTTGGAATGTGATTTTATTAGTTTTATAACCCAACTATTGGTCCATGTTGAATACTCCCTCCTGCCCTTTGTTTAATGGAGCACTGCCATTGCTATTTAAGCGCAAATGTCACTGTCAGAACAAGACAACAATTGGGCCAGACCACATAAAGCCAACACAGCTCTACAGAGCAAATATCAGATCAACTGTAAAACCGATGTGACATGTTGATGAAGCTCCATATATAACACGCTGCTTCTTGTGAATGAATAGTTAAAGAATAGGAAATGTTCCTAAAGCATTTAAGAGGGAATCGAAAGCTCAGTGTGAGAGAACAAATGCTGTGGTTGCCCTGTGGGGAGAGAGAGGAAGAGATGGGGAGGGTTGAAAACATGACAGTAGTTTTGAAGCTCAGATCTTCACAATGTTCTCCAGCTTTTTTTTAATGACTGGTGTCAGAGACATAAAAGCACAAGAGAGATGAAAAACAGGAACGAAAGATATAAGGGGATGAAATGAAAAGGAGTAGTGAAAAGAGGATACAATGATAGATAGATAGATAGATAGATAGATACTGAACATTTATAGATAGATAGATAGATAGATAGATAAATAGATACTGAACATTTATAGATAGACAGATAGATAGATAGATACTGAACATTTATAGATAGATAGATACTGAACATTTATAGATAGATAGATAGATACTGAACATTTATAGTTAGAGACGATCGATAGATAGATAGATAGATAGATAGATAGATAGATACTGAAAATTTATAGATAGATAGATAGATAGATGCACAGAGAATTATGCAGTTGAATAATTAAGGCTTCTGTGTGGGAGAGTAAGAAATTAAATGGATTTCTCTCCATCCATCTTTTTTTTGCCTCTGCAACTTTTCTCCTCCGCATGCACCTCTTATATAAACAGTGGATATGCTCTATATGAGCGAAGCGTGCCCAATTCGCCCATGCTGAGCGCGGACTCTCACGCGTGAACACGTTTTCTATGAACTTTCAGAAGAGGTCATCTAAAGTGATCTGATGAACAAGTGACGCAGAATGCCGGGGTAAAGATTAATCCTGAACCCAGAGGTCAGCACAGAGTGGCTTTTGTTTCAAAAACCAGTGACCTGCCTACCTAGACAGCATTTTTGAGCATCATACTTACTAGTTTTTTGTAGTAATTTATTACTGGAATGACTTTGACAGTGGAACAGTCTTTGAAATAACTGCCTCCCTTGACTACTGAACTAGAAAGCTGATTGAGACACACCCTAGGTTGTACAACACAGCTAGCACGAGATTATAGGCCTACGTAATGTGTCACACTGCATTGTATCTGTGAATTCAACTGGGAAACTGTTGACAGAAGCATAATTCTACCCTTAATGTAGAATCTTACTGCCATTAAATAGACAAATTAAGCCCTAATGATAAAGTAAACCACAGCATACTAGTGGTCTCCTTGTCCTGCATGTGCTTAGCACATCCCTTTCACTCACACACAGCTAAGCTGTGACTAAGGCACAGAGAAAGAGAGGGCAGGACGTGTGGGTGGAAGTAAGAAAAAAATGGATGGTTTAATGTGGGTGCTGAAAGCAGAGAGCATGTGAGTGATTCAGCAAATGGAACATCCTAAAATTGCTGTAGAAGCCAAAAGCTACTTGTGGGTTTTGCTGCAGTAGAAATTATAACACCAAATAAAATATTCATACTAGGCACTATCATCATCTTAAGCTCACATTAACCGTGCAAAGCCTGTTTTTATATTAATGTAGGCTACTGTTGCTGGCTGAAATGTACATTTGGACTGCAGTGAATGAACAACTTTGCCTCAATGTGTAAATCTATGCTGGCTTGCTTTTTCTGCAGATTAAATGCACCACACAGCCTTCGGTTTGAGTCTTGAGGTTTGAGACTTGAGGTGTGTGTGTGTGTGTGTGTGAGAGAGAGAGAGAGAGAGAGAGAGAGAGAGAAACTGCACTCATTTTGGCTCAACGCAAGGAGCCACTCTCCCGTCGAAATGAATGTTACCGCGTTCCAAAATGGCCGACCACGGGGATACAGTTTCCCCGGCATGTTCCTCTAGCGCTACACGCTCGGACTAACGTCAGAGCCTCGATTGAAAAGAAAAATATATTCTCTCTGACTCACTCAAATGAATTTAACCCCTCCATCACCCTTTACCACGGCGAGAGGCGCTGAGCATCATCGACGTGCTGCGAAACTAGCGATCGAGACACATGTGGCCACTGCGGTGAAACCGAATGGCGGCGAGGGGCGGCAGGTGCAAGGCTGTCCAGGGGGTATCAGGAGGGAATGCATGCCTGTTCAACGTGTGAGCAATTCATTCATGAACGAATATCCTTAGTCACTGGCATCAACACGTCTTGACATCTGTGACATACTGGGAGACACAACCGTTTGGGGTAGTTTAATTAGTTGTCATGCAACGCAGTCTCCATAAACTGTTTTAAAAAATGATAATGACAGCTGTGCTCCATCAGCATGGGTGTTATTTAATGATCTCGCGCGCATTGGCTTGACACTGTGGACGAGCACGCGGATGCTGTATTGCGCCTCTCAGCTGTTTCGGGACCTTAGCGCCTTTGCGCTGATTGATACACAAAGCGATATAAAACTCGACATGCAGTGGACACATGCCCTAAGGATTGTATTTCCTCTCGATTTTGTTTTAGTTGATCGGGAGGAACGCGAATTTGTTGGAACGTCGAATTTGGATATTTGAATCGACTTTGATGCCATCACTTTGGGACATTCGACACATCGCCTCATTATCGCGCAGCTGTATGCGTTGGAGATGCGCGATTGTCTTCAAGGACTGTCTGGGCAATAAGTGTGAAACCGCTCGTGAGTAAACGACAAATGCGTGCATGAAACATTAATGATAGATGTAATTATTTTACATTGAAGAGAGATTAGTCTTCAGAAATAATGGAATGAAGGCGCAAAGAAGTAGTGTGTTATGGAATAACCAAATATTGTGTTGAACGGACTTTGCAATGAGTTGAAATTCATCATGCGTGGGAAATTTAATTCCATGTCTTACGATGCATAATGATGAGCAACATTAATGGCTTGAATGAAGAGATCTTGGTTTTGTAATGAGGGTGCGAAGGAGAGAGAAGGGGGAACTGGGTTGTTCTGAAAGACATGCGCACACCTCCCAGAAGCCAATTTAGTATTGCAGTGGATTTATCAGAAGAACTTTGGTCCGTCTCTCTCTACCTTTCCATCTCAATCGCCTCTGGAATAGAATGACTCCTGACGAAAATGTCTCCCAAACACTTCAGTCTGGAATATGAGTCACGAATAGACGGCCAGAAAACCGCTGCAGTGTTTCAACTCCACATTTGAAAGAGAAACGGAAGAGGATGCACGCCAGAGAAATGGACGAAAAGGAAATTGGCTTTCCTTCCTGTGTAATGGATATTTGCTGACTTGGCTTTTTGCGGTGCATCCTTACCTTGGACTTGAGGTGCTGGGAATGTTCCATGATGACTTTGTCAAATTAGTTTTTTGTTCACTTTCATTACCTAATGAGAGTAATAAATGGCTAAATGATTGATGAAGTTAATTTCTGCAAACTGGCTTTGATCTCAATTCCATGATTCCTTGGTGGCAGTGGAAAAATGCCACATTGACAGAAGAATAGCAATGCACACATAAACAAACACATGCTCACACCAATCGTAAACAAACAAACAAATCCACTCATTAACATTATCATCATCCCTTGAATGTGAATACAAATTCCCAATATGGAATTTCCTCATCGCTTTCCAGTACTGTGACTTCCAAAGCTGAATTTAACTTTGGGGAATCTCAGATTAAAACCACTGACTATTTTACTCTGGTAACTCAACTCTAACTCCCAACACATTTCCTTCTCTCCCCCCCACCCGCTCCACGTGGGGGGGAGAGCTTCCTCTTACGGGGTGATCCCAGAAGCTTGTCCCAGCAGACGGTGACTGTCACGCAAGTGTCCATCAACATGGATGCTGGGCAGGGCAGCCCGGAGAGCCCTAACCGGGCGGTGGAGTACCTGCTGGAGCTCAACAACATCATTGAGAGCCAACAGAAGCTTCTGGAAACTCAACGGCGGCGCATTGAGGAGCTTGAAGTGCAGCTGGACCGGCTCAGCCAGGAGAACAAAGACCTGAGGTTGGACCGACAGCCCTGCCCGCCCCCACCTCCACCTCCCATCCACCCCGTCCAGCCACCTACTTCCAACGCTGCAACCTCCACCAACATATACGCCAATCAGAGCCACAACAGCGGGCCTATCCCGATACCCATCCCGGCTCCGGCTCCGGCTCCCCCACCCCCACCTCCACCCGTACCAGCACGGGACCGGCGCGTCAATGCCAACACGCACACGAGGCTCGGCCAAAGCCTGTCAGCTGGAGCCAATGCCACGGGGCGAGAGAGGGACCGAGACCGGGAACGAGGAAGAGACGGCGCCGCTACCAGTTTGGGAAGCTCTCTGCAGAGACGGTAAGTACAGGCCTGAGGGCTCTTTTACTGCATAGCTGAGTTTTTAAGACTGTATGTTGGTGCGTGTGTTAACTAAATTGACTACAGTTTATAGTAATCAATATATTTGAAAGGAATGGTTCACTTAAAAATAAAAGTTCTGCCATTTATGTACTGTCATGTCATTCCAAAGTTCTAGTGTTCTTTTGGTCCCCATTGGCTTTCATTGTATGGACAGTTGAAACGTTATTCAAATTATCTTTAGTGTCCCACAGAAGAAAGTCATACAGGATTGGAACAACATGAGGATGTGTAGATGCTGACAAAATTTTTGAGTGAACTATCCTTTAAAGGGGTCTCATAATGCTACATGCACTTTTGCAAGTTGTTTGAACTGAAATGTGTGTTGGCAGTGTGTGTACACAACCACCCTAAAATGGTAAAAGTCCACCCAGTGTTTTTTTGTTAATCGACTAAAATCTTTACCCCTTTCTCAAATCGAGCCGATCTCAGATGCCTGTCTGTGTGACGTCACACAGACAGGCCCCTCCCATGTTTCAGCACAGACTGGACTGGCGTCTTATCTTAGACCCGCCCTGAGTGAGCTGTCATCAGTCCGCCATTGTTTCACCGCTGGAGCAGATGTAGACAAGAATGACTCCTAAACGATTGAGGTGTTTTGTTGTTGGATGTAATAATGAACATAGCAGTCGTCATTTACTCCCGACATCTGAGCTGCTGAAGACGAAGTGGATTGTTTGTTTTCGAAGGGAATGCGCCCCCGATCTACATAAATGCGTCTATGTTCGCGCGAATCATTCGTGATCCAGCTTCACCTACAGAAGAAGTGAGTGTAAGGTTTTTTTAACGAATCTTTGCCAGTCGCCTTTCTTAATAATGTGCTAATTAGCAAGTTTCACGATGAATGCAACAGTAAGTACAGTCTCTCTGAGAGCGGCTCGGAAGAGAGGGGTGGGGTCAGCAGAGCTCATTAACATTTAAAGGAAAATGCTACAATTCTGCATGCTCTGAAAAGAGCCGTTTTTGACAGGGTAAAAAAGGTGTTTTTTACACTACAATTGAGAAATTTTAACCTAACTATGTTACAGACTTTTCATTAAGACCCTAAAGAATCATATCAACTTGTGGAAAATGGGCATCTTATGACCTCTTTAAAGCAAGTATGAGTAAACAACTGCGTGCACTGTAATATTCACTGACACTGACACTTACGATTTGTACTACACATACCTGTGGATGTTTGTACACAGTTTGAGTTGTTTTACATCACACACTAGTATTTTAACAGCATTTACATTACACTAGCAATACTGGTGCAGAACTAAATCTTATAATGTCGGGAACCAAAAAACAGAAAACACCTTTCAGAGGGTATCTCTCCTGTTCGCACTCCGTCTGTCTTGCAAAACTGAAACTGAGTGCAACAGTCTGTCACAATAGGACTCTTTCCAGGCCATCGGACAGGCAGCTGGCTGTGCCATTGAGCCTGAGCATTACATAAGCCGACAGACTCTTATCTGGACAGACTCGTGCTGCTGGGCCTTTGGCAGAGTGACAGGCTAATGTCATGGGAACCTGGGATTGAATTGGCATGCTAAATCTGTCACAAATGTAATAACTTTTTTGATTTTGAAAGAGATTGGACTATGCCAGTGAAGTTTTCTGGAGAACAAGGAAGCTCAAGGAAGTTTAGTTTTATTTTATTTTACTGTAAACTAAGCTTTTAGCTAAGATTATGTGGAATCAAATAAGCGAAGTACACAAACAGTATATCGATCTATCTAGCTCCTTCAAACAAGACTTTGTCTAATAGACATTCAAAGTCAGTCTTGCCTTTCTACATAAGTTACGGTCATATTCATTTTTTTTTTAATTTCAGTTTCAGATTACATTTGAACTGCACTTCTATATCCTTTTTACTACCTCATTTTGGAATAAATTCATTTTTGGAACTCATTTTGGATTTGAATTGCAATTTAAAATGTTAAACCAATTCATTTGTGAATAGTGCGCAACCCTGTTGGGTTTGGCATGACGTTCATTTTAAACTGATGCTATTGATGTCTTGTATGGTTTTAAAATGTGTTGGAGGAAAAGAAATCTCTGAAAAGATTTCCACAATGAGCAAAGATGTCAGTAGCCTCAAGACTGTCAATATCATTCCCAGCATGTGCTGCGTCAACATGTTCCGTACAAATCCAGAGAGAGAGATGGCACAGAAGTGTAGTGGGCTACTCCTTGTGCTTCTGACAGTTAAGTTGTTTGTCTCCCTCCCTCCCTGCATTGCTGAGGAATCGACCTCTCCATTGCACCTCTGATCGCTCCCGCCTGTAGTGTGCACTTGAGCCGGCTTCATCACAGCACACGATGCATACAGATGCGTGCTTGAGCGTGTGGAGATTAACATTTGGTGGATTGGATCAGTGTCGAGCACTGCAGTACAGCATCTCCTGTAGTTTTTAAGGCAGGTGGCTGGTGTGGTGTGGAGATTCGTTCTGTATGTATGATCGGGCCACTGTGTAGGAGAGGTTGTGATAAAATTCAGCGCAGAGTCAGATTGTAGATCAACTTGTGTGGGAGAGCGAAGCATAGAGTCAGAGAGAGAGCGGAAGAGGCTGCAGAATGCACTGCACCCTTTTTGTGTTGCTCACTTTCTCTGTTTTGTTTCTCCAATATGCACACCTCTTATTTGTTTCTCTTGCCCTCCTTTCCAGTGGAGAGAAACCGGAATGCCCTCTGTTTGTGGAGATAAATTGAGTGCTTTCTTTCTCATCTGAGACTTATTTCTTCTTGTCCTTGAGGGCAGATAGCGTACTTCATTTCTTGCATAGTAATTATGGTTTAACTGTAGTATTTGTTAGGAGTGGCAATTTTGATTTATACCATTGATTTGAATCTTTTGCTTCTTTTCAAAAAAGATTCGTTCATTGATTTGATCAGCCGCTATTTGCTGAGACTAAATTGCATTTGTGTTTGCTGAATAAATGCACTTATACAACCTTGTGCACAATATGGTCTTTTTGTAGTTTTAATAGAAAAAGTCAACATGATTTGGAATTAATAGAGGGCTTACAAATGTTCTTAATGCAGAGAGTGTTAGCGTATATGATGAATCCGGAAGCTAGGTAAAAAAAGAACTCGGCGTATTAGTTGAAATTCTCTTAAATTGTGTTGATGTGAAAATAATTCTGATGAAATGTAAAAAGAAATTTCTTAAACTCGAACAATTGTGATTTTTTTTTTTTTATTAATTTTTTTATCATGTAGCCCATCTTTTTGTCTATGTTATGTGTAAATCATTATTTTTACTTTTTTTTTTTTTTTGCATGCCTGTATCTAAAAGATGTAGGAAATATGGTTTTAACACCACTAGCATTTTCTCCATAAATGGCAATAAAGCAGAGCTATGTTTTCTTTTCTTTTTTTGCCCCCACTCCATTTTCAGCTTCTAGTTTTGACTTTTGTCAAGCTGTGGAAAATGATAAAAGTATTAAGTCATGTCATTTTCAGTCATTTTACACATTCTTATTAGGATTGTCCTTGTTAAAAAAGACAAAAAAGACTCATGTGTCAAACAGAATGATCAACATGCCCTTTTGGTTTAGTTATTGTCAGTCAGTAAATCCTCATCTAACACCTCGTTTGCTCATTTTGTTCACAATTAAAATATCCCAGTTTATTTAGTTCATTCATGAGATTCTGTGTCTTGAGTCTCGTTCCGACTCGAACATTATAATAATCTTTGCTGCTTGTGTTAAGTAAATATTTGGTTGTTGTGTATGTATATTTATAACATAAAGATAAAAGTAGTTTCAAATCCTCTGCCTTGGTGTCATCTCCTGTGTCATCACATGATTCACATGAACTCACTAGCAGTCACGTAAACAGCATCTGGTAGATGTGGCTATGTGTTTACTTTACACCTGTGAAACTTTAGGGCTGCTAGCTTTCACTTAGCATCAACTTCACCTGAAACAATGAAAAGTCACATGACACTGTGAGGGCAGATGGCTTGTTTTACTGATAGATTTTGGTGTTTTACAGACATTTGTGACAGTTAGCCATCATTTGACTGTTTTTGAATCTACTTCAGCCATATCCATCCTTTTTATTCTCTTTCTGTCTCTCTCTCTCTCTCTCTCTTTCTCTTTAGACTATTGCCAAATTTTCCAATGCCTCATTCACCCCCTCACCAGCCCTCCCTTGGTGTTGAGCAGATGGCACACCAACATGTCATTTGCCATTTTCTTTAGGGTCGCCTCTTCTCTTTTCACCCACAAGGGTCGTTTACAGTGTCGCCTTTTTCATGCGAGCTCTTTTTCGGTTTAGATCCATGTATCTGCTCCCGTCCCATCAGACCGATGCCTGCGACTCCAAATGACCCAACTTGGGTGATCACAATCTTGCTCTCTCTCTGGTGTAATGCTTTCGGCTAATGAACAAGTGTAACTACTGCTGTGGGGGAGCTGTTGAGGTGGGATTGTTTCTCAGAATAATTAGCATGGCCGGTGTTAATTACATTTGTCCATTGAAGGTGGCAATTACTGTCGTAGACGTGAGTCTGTGAGTAATACACTGGGTGTTGGAGGACTGACTGATAGAGTTTATACAATTATGATTGAATAATTGAATGTCTATGGAGGAGCCCGCGTGTCAGTCAAACCCGACACCTGCTGCTTTGTAAGATAGTCTATTTTATTAGTTGTAATAAAAGTCTTAATTAATTTTAACCTAATTTAATTTAAATGAAGAGTGTGTTTTGCCATGCACTGGTGTCAAAAAGCACATAAAAAGCAGCATAACAGAAGGTGTCATGTGACCTTTTCAATATTACGAACCCAGAGTGATTCCTAACAATAATATTTAACACTGCACATTTGTAAACCCTGGATTAATTTTCTTATTTGCATATTTCTTGGGTTGATTGGTTTCTGTGCTGGGTAGCTCTGCCACTGTGAAATCTCATTGGTTCGAAGCAGAGGTCGATTGATTGATCGGTT